AAATGGGGATTACTTTCTTCCCGTTTTTCTTCTTATTCTACTGAGCTAAGGTATTGTCAAATCGAGCTGTCACAACTGATACCACCTTGTATTATTGCATCATGCATTTGGTCCTAATTCGATTCCGAATATAAGACCCCTTTTAGACACGTCAAGTCTGCGAGTTCAGGCGCGAATTAAGTTTTTATAATCCAATCGACCAAATTTAAACTTCAATGTGCGCTTCAAAATATTCACATTTTAAGTACATCACACTTTTTATTTATTATTGCAATAATACAATTTTGCTCGGCATCATCTGCGTGTGGTATATTTAAAGTTTTAAATAGAAAATTTAAATGAATTTTACCTAGGTTATGACTTTTATAAATAATATATTGTATACATATGTGTGTTTTTTTATATTTTTGAGAACATACAAAATAAAAATGTGCAAATTAACAAAATAAAATTATATATAGATAAATGAATCTCTGAAGCATGATGCATTAATTAATAATAATCAATTGAATTATGGCTCTGAAGTCCCTTAAGAACTGTATGCCGAATTTATAAAAATAAATATTTGTTAAATTAATCTCTTGTATTTGAGAAATTATTCAGTTTAAATTTATATTTCTACAAAAACTTTTTAACTATAATTTTATTTGCTTTTGAAGCATAAAATAAAAATATCCCATATCGACCACAATTTTTATTAAAACGATTTCGTCATCTTTGAACCTATCATTCTTGCTTTGAACCTATCTGGGACTTTGAAATCAAATACATATGTACATCATACATACTTATGTAGTTCTTATAACAAGCAAGACTTTTGTACATACATTGAATTTGGCCCTTGATATCAAAATTTTTGTTAAATATTGTTACCTACCTCATAACTATCTCATAAAAACTTCAATTCGATTAGAGTAATTTATTCCAGCGCATTTTGTACATTAGTAATAATTTAACAAGCAATATGTATCTAATTACAAAAAAAAATATATATATATATGTATATATGTATGCGCATGTTCATATGTAGGTGTATATGTTTATGAGTACATGGAATCAAATGTGATACCTACTTATATATGAGGACTTGAGAGCCAGAGAAGACCGACATTTAAAAAACTAAAAAATTCAGGTAAAACTTAAAATGCATTTTAGTGAACTTTTCTGTAAAATACCGTAATTATTATTTATATATCCTTCTTTCTCATCTTAATCAAACATTATTTTATAAGTAGGCTCCTCTCTGGCTCTCATGGCCACATATGTATGAAGCTGAAAAGTGTATGTTTATTTTAAGTATTACATATACGTTGTCATTCATTCTGGCACATAGGCGCCCGATTAGCTAAGCGAAGCGGTAAATTAACGCGATAAATGGCACACTTGAATGGATTAGATTAATGTAGAAATTTAAGATTCAATTTGGCGTATGGTAGGCTAGAATAACAGGAAACTGAACTCAATTGCAATTATTGTTGCAAACATTGTTCTGCTATTTACTATTCTAAAGAGTAGTCTCAGGCACGATCTCTTGTATTTTTAGTTGCGACTCATATGTTAGTACTTCAGAGTTTTTTGATTTTAAGCATTGAGGCTGCTGTGATACGCGCTCACAGTCTGTAATACTTTTACTGAAATTATCACGAGTAATGCAACTCTCATTGACATAAAATTTCTCTCCATTAGTTTTATGATCCACCCCGAAGGACATTTCCACGATTTTCTGTTCTAATCTCCGAACTCGTGCTTGATATCTGCGTTTGTTTTGTTCCAAAAGTTGTGTTAAATTTCTTAAAAAGAAAATATGTATATGTAAAACTTTTTTTTTTTAATCATTATAAAATAACAACACTTACAAATTTGATTTTTGCAGCTCTTGAATGTTATTCTGCAATTGGATGTGGCGTTCATCGGCACTAAGCTGAGATGCGGTTACTGATGAAATCAAAGTTTGAATGCGACTTTTGAGTTCGGATTCTCGTGTTAACGCTTCGACTAGTTGCTGTTCAGTGAGCGCAACATGTTCGGACTCTGAGTAAGACACCCTATTTTCTGCTATCTGTTCGCGATGGAAAAGTGCACTACTGGCGTCTGTACTGATTTGTAATTCATCTGTAGCTGCAGCTGCAACTGTTGTAATGTTTCTTCGAGTGAACTATTACGTTCAGTAGCTAGACGTTTTTCTACCTCCGCAGATTCAACTTTTGACTTCAAATTGATATTTTCCTCCCGCAAATTTAATAACTCTTGCATAATTACAGCCATTTCGAGGTCAAATTGTGCGTTATGCACTTGCTCAACCATTCCTTTGCCACACTCGAGAGCTTTCCGCGATTTTTCATACAAATCACTAAATGGTGATTCCAAGTTGACAATTGTATTTTGCACAGTCGAACGACGACCTTTCAACTTCGAAACGTGATAGCGCAAGCGGTTGTCATCATCGGCGGTCCATGGTGTCCAAACTTTGTCCGGAATACTAAAGCTGTAAATATAAATATAATTGAATGGATTAATAAATTTTTTAGCAAATATGCTGATAGATTACGTAGATTGCCAAGGTCCCAAGCTATTTTCACAAGTATTCTTTTCACTTTCGAGCCGATCTAGTAGGTGCCGTGCAACTTTCTCTACAGCTCTTCTACTTTCTTCGGCACCAACGGACTTTTCTGTCATCAATGCTAACCTAAAGTGTTAAATTTATTATTAGCTTTAAAAACAAACTACTTTACAAAGATGTTCTTACTTGCTCTCTAACAGTGCCAACATGACATCATATGCTTCGATAGCTCGATCACTGCAATTTACTGCTGTTTGTAAAGCAATCGCATTTGATTCATATTTACCACAAAGAAGATACAAATGGTCGCAATGCTCTTTACATTCATCTAGAGTAAGTGAGAGGATAGTGTTTCGCACTTTTAATTGCTCAATTTTGCGCTGAAGCCGCTGTAGCTCGGTATCCATGTGTGATACTTCTGCGTAACTATTCGTCATACTCTTGTCATACGTCTTAGAATCTATAACCATACTTTCAACCATATCCTCTTTCTCATGCTATCCACAAATGTGAAGAAATATTTAGACTTGCCATAATTAACGCTCAAAATACCAACCTCTGCATTTAGAATATCCGACAAAGTTTTTGAATCTTCTTTGCTATGGATTGATTTAGTTCCACATTTTAACTTTACACGTTCCGCAATTTTCGCTACAGGTGGCGGCACGTGAGGAGTAGAAAGCAGCTCGTATTGCTTTTGCGGTGTTACAAAATCTGAAAAACCCTTCATATTAAAATATGTCTGTGAAATAGTCCACAGTGTTTCCTAAAGACCTGAGTGTAACATACCTTCTGGATCATTCTCACTGGGTTTTTCATCACTTGAAGTTTTTTGATTCCCTTTTTCTGTGATTTGTTTTTGTTCCTTTGGAATAAGTTCGTTATTAGCATTTCTGACTGTAGAAGAGCGATTTGCGCTTTCAAGTGAAGCACCTCTTCCTGAAGAGCCTTATGTTGGGAAAATAAGATTAGATTTATGTAAACCGAAATAAGGACTTTATTATAAATACCTCAACCTGTCCTTTGCACACCACATCATTGATTCTTTGCTGTTCCGTTATGTCAATGTCGCAATGTATGTTGTCACTAGCGCTATGGCCTTCACATATCGACTGTTCGGCTCCACTCTCTACCAGGTCAGTTTGACATTCCGCATCCGGATTGGTTAAATTAAGTTCGGAATTGTACACAGACACATCTTCTTGAAAACTCAACTCTATAAATTTGATGAATTAAATTAATTAAAGGCAGAGTTGATGCTGACTTAGCACATTTTAGTCACAACAAAAAATAAAACTCACCACTTTCCTCTGGCTCGTTTTCTTCTGGGATTACAGTTTCTTGTTTTGCTCGCAGCTTCTTACTTAACTCTGCTATAACACAATGCATTTCCGTAATGCGACATTCGTGTGCTGCACTGACCACTTCTAAACGTCGGAGGCACAAATCCTTCTCCCCATTGCATTCTTCTAGTTTTCGCTGCAAGTCTACACGTTGCTGTTCTGAAGTTTGAAGGCGTTGCACAAGGTCTCGCACCTGAACTTCTAACTGTTGCAGTGACAAATTTTCAACCTAAAAAAGCAGTATGTAGTATTTTTCTCGGTGTTACATGTGAGTAAGTTAATTAATTATGTGAAACTGGGAATCAACTTAAATAAATATTGTCCTACTTTCAAATTACGCATTGGTAGCGGCTGTGAAATCATCGCAAACTCCCATTCTGTAGGCAGAATATTTTCATTATATTGCTGTTGTTGCCTACGTTGCTGCAATTCGCTGCAGCACATGCAGCTCAAACTTCTTGGAAGTGGTGGCCAGTATTCCATGATCATATTAGTACGACACTGACTATTATATGTAAAGAGTTTGTCTTCTAAAAATTTAAGTTTTACGTTCCCAATTATTTACATAAAAACCGTAACTTGCACGCACGTCATTCAAAGGCAAAACTTTGTAACACACTCTGGCTTTTGTACTGACCTTGCAGTTTGTTCAAATAGGCGGCCTATCATAAGTGCACTTGCGCAGTGATACTTATATCAATAATCAGAAACAAAAACAAACTACCCGTTTACCACCGCTACTACTTTGCACTTATTAGACAGAAGTTATATCTATGGCTATTTACCTTTCCAATGTCTAGTGTGGAACAGGAGCTAATGTTGTTATCACTTTCATTGTTTTCGCGTTGTGTGTGGTCGGGCGATTCGATTTCATTCCAGATGACTATATCCCCTGATCTCGGGACATGCCCGCCTACAAATGCTATTTCGGCGGCATTGTTTGCCAAATGAACCTCCTTAATGTTGCGTGATATGCTACGGCGGGCGTTGCATTTCGTCTCGGTAGTGTTTCCTTTGGCCACATCTCCGCTGCGCTGAATTTTACTAACGCGTGCAAGATGCACATCGTTAAACATATTTAATTAAGATATTCTGTTGCTAACAGATATGCGGAATCAACCACTTCATAGGAAATGTTTTTTTGATTCGCCCTTTACCAATCACTGCCCCAACGCCCAGACTTTTCCGTACTCTTCACATGATTGTGGATGCGAGATTCAATCGAATTCACATAACTTTTTGTGGGCTCCTTGGATACTTCAATATCAAAACTGCTAACTTACTTATGATATTGTTATTATTTGTTCTTAAAAATTGTCTGCGATTTTCAGCATAAAATTACGAACAAATATAAATGAATTGTTGAAATATATACGACAAAAAGAAGAGCGATAAAAATACTGAAATGTAAATAGGGAAGCAGAGGGAACGTCAAAAAATATGCATCTCCATAATCAGAAAGAGCAGGGTTTGAATTGTCGACTAAAAAATAGCTCGCGTATAACGCATATTGCTGCAACACGTAATTCAAGTTCACTTTCGATATATTGCCCAAATTAAATTGTCGCAATCATAGCCGTAANCACAAGATCACGCGGGAAGGAAAGAACGAAAAAAGTTATTTTCTAGCTGCCGAAATCTCGACGCCATCTTTGTTGTAAGAAGTAAACAACGAAGAGAACAAAAAAAAACCGCGTAATTGTTGAACGCATGAATAACCATTTTTATTCTACAAACTCTTTTATAAATCATGTCGTTGTGATAAATTATTCTTTACCTTATGTGTACACACGTTGTCACAAGCGAAAATGAAGAAAATTCCAGTAAAAAGCCACCATCAAATTGTAAGCAACGAAATCAGGAAATCAGAAAAAGTCCGAAGTAGTCGGATTAACCCTGGCTTTCAGTAAAGTTGAAATTAGTCAAGAACGTAAACCTACCGGTACGTAAACCCGAGTCAGCTGACACGATCTGTCTTACCAAAGCGCCATGTAAATGAAAACTCAACAACGCAGAATTTTCTGTAGTTGTAGCCCGTAGCGCAGAAATCTGCGGAATTTAGATTTTTCCGTGTCAGCTGATTTCTCCTTCTTTAGATGGTTGCCACTTCGTCAGTTTTACAGATGGTAAAAAAGATATAAGTTCCTATTCAAAATATGTTTAAAATATTTGAAATTTACTATTGAATAAGGTTTTTGTTGAAAACTAAGTAGTTTATATTTAGCTAAAGTCTATTATAGTTATTTTAGTTGAAAGGGTAAGTTTATGAAAAGGCATTGATGATTGGCAACAGTGTAGTAAGCAACACTGAGGGCTCCAGTAATCGAAAAAAATTCTGCGTATACAGACTGCGTTTAAGTATACGTTCTGCGTTCTCGACTAATTTCAGCATAAATTTTGGTGGTNTTAGTTGAAAGGGTAAGTTTATGAAAAGGCATTGATGATTGGCAACAGTGTAGTAAGCAACACTGAGGGCTCCAGTAATCGAAAAAAATTCTGCGTATACAGACTGCGTTTAAGTATACGTTCTGCGTTCTCGACTAATTTCAGCTTAAATTTTGGTGGTGAACTTGGATTTTGAGACTATTTGGTATTCAGTACGCTATCTCACGTCTCTTGTCTCAAAAAAAGTCACTAGCTTTGTTTCTTAACCGATAATTATCACATATTATCACTAATTTCTGCTGGAAAGCGTTTCTTAACCCAAAAAACTAGCAAAAGCTAGCTGCTCTCTCTCGTTCTTACGCTCTTCTATTTTTGGCTCTCCTGCTAATTTCTGCTAGTAAAATTTTTACTGACAACGTGTGCACACATAAGGTAAAGAATAATTTAACACAACGACATGATTTATAGAAGAATTTGCATAATAAAAATGATTATTCATGCGTTCAACAATTACGCGTTTTTTTTTCTCTTCGTTGTTTACTTCTTACAAGAAAGATGGCGTCTTTTCTTTCTTTCCTTAAGAGCAGCTTCTATATAATTAGGGACCCAAATTTCGATACGATAAGATACCATATCGATACTTTTGGCATTCGATACCGATAGTTTTACTCGATAGTTTTAAAACGATATTTTTTTGAATCGAGTAGCAGAATCCTAGTAATGTACTTGCTTTCATGAACCAATTAGAACAGATCTGACCGGTTGAGAAGCAGCCATTTGTAATAGCAATTGAGAACAAAGTGTGTGACGTTCGTAATTTTAAGTGATTATCGAAGTGAAGACTTTCAAGCACAATTAGGGGTGTATAGTTTTTCGATTAGGTTATTTATAACTTGATTGGTTAATCGATCATTTTTTACCACAATAAAAGTAATCTATAACCTTTATTAATTTATAATTTATTANATTTGTAATAGCAATTGAGAAAAAAGTGTGTGACGTTCGTAATTTTAAGTGATTATCGAAGTGAAGACTATCAAGCACAATTAGGGGTGTATAGTTTTTCGATTAGGTTATTTATAACTTGATTGGTTAATCGATCATTTTTTTACCACAATAAAAGTTATCTATAACCTTTATAAATTTATAATTTATTGNACACAGCAACAACGTCATCACGAGATTCACTTAAATGTTTAATTTTTTCTATAAAATTGAAGATNATAATTAATCGATTATTGATTCACAGCAACAGTCATCACCAGATACACAGGAACAACGTCATCACGAGATTCACTTAAATGTTTAATTTTTTCTATAAAATTGAAGATGTATGAAAACTAAAATATAATCGTTATTTTCGTCAAATATTTACTAAAAAATTATCAAAGTTTATACGTTCATTCATTTCTGTGCGCTTTACAACTATTCATCATCATTTGGTGAAATAAATCATGTATTTCAAAGAAATTTTTGTTTATTTTGGAGATAAATCTAATTTGTGAAAAGTGAAGTAAAACGAAGTAAAATGAAGTGATGAAGTGAAGGCTTCCAAAGTGAAGTGAAAAACTTCAATTGAAGTGACAGCGGCAGCACTGGTGCCATCGATAGTTTTCCAGCTCTAGCATATATAGATGATTTGGATGCATCGATATTATTTTTACATTCCTACTGTACATTTTAAATCGTTTGGTGTGTTTTCGTGTCCTTTCCAATTTTTGCCCAAAATGTTGAGCCGGAAAAGACGCGCTAGTTCGATTTCCAGTAAGCAAGATGAAGATCCTTTGCAAATGGATGATTCTACGCCGGAGCAGTCACCAGTTTTGCAAACCTCAGTGCGCAAAAAACGCCGGCTGGACCCTTCAGAACTGTGCCAGCAGTTGTACGATTCAATACGAAGTCTCAAAAAAGAAGATGGCGCTACTTTATGCGACTCTTTCATACGTGCTCCAAAACGACGCCAAGAGCCTTCGTACTATGATGTTGTGGCAAATCCTATAGATTTATTGAAAATTCAGCAAAAATTAAAAACTGATTCATATGACGATGTAGACGAATTGATGCAAGATTTTGAACTGTTGGTAAAAAATGCTAAAGCTTTCTATAAGCCAGATACAGATGAATATCATGACGCTGAAGCACTTTGGCAGCATGTACTTGTTAATAAACATAGATTATTGGAGTCGAATGGTATTGTTGAAGAAGAGCCAAAGTCAAAACGTCTTTCACGAAATCCAAGGCGTTTGACTGGATCCGCTGGTAATAATGGCGGAANATAAGCCAGATACAGATGAATATCATGACGCTGAAGCACTTTGGCAGCATATACTTGTTAATAAACATAGATTACTGGAGTCGAATGGTATTGTTGAAGAAGAGCCAAAGTCAAAACGTCTTTCACGAAATCCAAGGCGTTTGACTGGATCCGCTGGTAATAATGGTGGAGCCGAAGCAGAAAATGAACCTTCACGACTCGATGACGACCTAAATCCTTACGAAGAACTTTTTGCCACTGTAATGACTGCGGTGGACTCCACTATGAATGATCGACCCCTTCATCGCATGTTTCTTCTACTACCTTCTAAGAAAATGTATCCTGACTATTATGACGTTATTGAGCATCCCATAGATTTAAGACTAATCGCGACAAAAATTCAGATGAATGCTTATTCTAGTCTAGTGGAAATGGAAAGGGACTTGTTACAAATGATGAAGAATGCTTGCCAGTTTAATGAACCTGGATCCCAAATTTACAAAGATGCTAAAACACTTAAACGCCTTTTCACGCAACGACGCGTTGAGATTGAGAGTGGAAAAATTAAGCCCACGCGACGTATAAAAACGCTTTCAAGTGCAGCAATTTCTGGTGAGTACGGAATTATTCACTTTTAGAATTTTCTAACCGAATTCTTTGTTCAGCGATGAAGGCGATGAAAGAAGACGTTGATAGTTCAGATGATGAAGAAACCAGCAAAAAGGGGGAAGGCCCTATGTGGGCGTTGTTTGATCATTTGTATAATGCGCCTGGATCGACCGAGCATCCTGGTGCAACGGGTCCTCCATTAGGCAATTCATTGTGGAAGCTGCCGGTTCGCCGTTTTCATCAAGAATACTACGAACTTATTAAACGTCCTATCTCCATGTCTCAGATACATACAAAACTCAAAAAAGGGGAATACGCAAATATAAGCGATCTTACAGCTGACCTTTGTCTTATGTTAGATAATGCTAAAAAAGCATTTCCGCCAACACATCGCATGCATAAAGATGCTGTAAAAATGTTAAAAATTATGAATACAAAGTTAGTAGAAGATACTTTGGAACCGGAGACGAGCGACATGGAAGACGATGGTGATATCGAAGCTGATTGCGAGGATACTTCGGCTAGCAATAGTGTACCGAGGAAAAAGGGCCGCCCACGTATAAATTCTAACAACACAAACACCCCAAATACACCGAATAGTAATTCACCCAAGTCAAGTCGGATTCCAATAAACGCTGCTATAAAAAGGAAAATTTTAAGTATACAAAAATATTTGGTTGACTTCACAATCAGCAATCGAAGGCCCATTGAGTTGTTTATGGAGAAGCCTCCACGAAAAATTTATCCAGATTACTATGATATTATACAAAATCCGATGGATATGAATACCATTGACCACAACATACGTTGCGATAAATATGCGACCGTAGAAGATGTAGTGGCAGATTATCGTCTTATGTTTTCTAATTGTAGACAATATAATGAAGAAGGATCAACCATTTACGAGGACGCCAATAATTTAGAGAGAGCTTTGAATGAAAAATTGAAAGAATTCCCCGGTTTGGCGGACATTAAGAAACCATTGCAAAAGTTATCCAAACCTAGTGGTCGAAGAAAGACCGCTGTGGTTGAAAAATTGTGGCAATTTTATGAGACAATAAGAGAGTTCCAAGAACCAAAAGGTAAACGGCAATTGTCATTGATATTCACCAAGCTTCCATCGAAAAACGAGTATCCAGATTATTACGACATTATAAAGGAACCAATTGATATGGAGCGTATTGCGCAAAAATTAAAACAAGGCAGCTATGAGAGCGTCGATGAGTTAGGGGCTGATTTTTTACTGATGCTTGAGAACGCTTGCAAATACAATGAGCCAGATTCGCAAATTTACAAAGACGCTCTGGTACTGCAGCAATTGACACTCCAATTGAAACAAAGCCTACGCAGTGAGCATTCATCGATACCAGATGTGTCGCTGGCGGTGCAGGAACTGTTCCTCAGCTTATTTACGCAACTCTACAATCACCAGGACGAAGCCGGAAGATTCTATTCTGACTCTTTGGCCGAGGTACCGGAATATGACGAAGTTGCTGATGCAAGCGGTAAATTTACTAAAGTTCGTGGAATCTCATTAGATTTAATCAAACGTCGTTTGGATAAGCTTGCCTACAAACGCTTAGATATTTTTCAAGACGATGTATTCTCGTGTCTCGAACGTGCACGACGTTTATCGCGTACTGATTCTGACGTGTTTCAGGATTCAATTGAACTACAGATTATTTTTATTAAAAATAGGGATGAACTATGTAAAGATTCATTTAGCTCGCCAGCACTAATGTACACAGTCGGTAATTACTTGCTGAGGTAGAAATGATGCGCCAACAGAAACTTGCACAAGAAGACCAGGATCAGGAGGATAAGGACGAATTGGATACTGCAGCAATGCAAGGCGAAAGTATGACTATCAACCAAAATGTGTTTTCTCCTGGAGACTTTGTATATTTTCAATTACCGGAAAATAAAATACCTGGTATTGCTTATATTGAGCGCCTTTGGACCACAACAGATAACGTGAAGTGGATGTATGGTGCAGTTTTTCTACGTCCACATGAAACTTACCATGTGACAACTCGAAAATTTCTTGAAATGGAGGTATTCAAGAGCAGTGCTTCCCAGACGATTCCTATGGACAAAGTGCTCGGCAAATGCTATATCATGCACATAAAAGACTACATAAAAATGCGACCAGAAGGTTTCGCTGATAAAGATGTATTCGTGTGTGAATCGAGATACAATATCCGAGGGCGCTGCTTCAAAAAATTTAAAGTTTGGCCTTTCGTTCGCGAAAACGATCCAGTTCGTTTTATTACGCGCGATGAGCCATTAGAATTGCGTCGTGTAATGTCCGTTTTTAAAGAACGCATAGAAAAGCACAAAGGCGAGTTGGAGGAACTAAAACTTCAGGAGACACTGGTGGAGAAAGAAAAACCCAATGTCGTATGTGATGCACCGCCTATCAATCCTGAACCGAATAGTGTTTACTATCAGCAATTTAATACGATTTGCAGTGGTGCTGTTAAGATCGGCGACTTTGTATATGTAGCTACACAAAGTGGAAAACAATCAATAGCGCAAATCCATCAAATATGGGAACACTCAAATAAGTCTTATTTCAAAGGACCTTGGCTTTTGGCGCCAAATGAGATAGTTTCGCCATTAAATAAGCAGTTCTATCGCCAGGAAATCTTATTGTCGACAGTTGAGGATATTAGCCCCTTAATAGCTATTGTTGGACGTTGTGCAGTGCTTGAGTATGCAGAATACATAAACTGTCGTCCGACAGAGATTTCAGAGAGTGATGTTTATATTTGTGAGTCCGTTTACATGAGTTGAAAAAATCCTTACGTAAACTCAACACGCCTGGAGGTCTACGTAAATTTCAACACAGTGTTGAAGTAACTCAAGACGAGATATTTCATTTCAAAACTCCTATCAAGCCTTGCAAGGAACTTAAAGGCTCAGATGTCAATGAAAATTTGGGTATGCTTGAAGATTCACTGGATGGCAATCCGCCATCAGTTAATTCGGACATAGCCGCAATATCATCGCCAGCACCTTCGGTATCATCTACACCGATATCCTCCAAGGCAAAGAATAAAAACACTAAAAAGAGTCTTACTGGTTACATACTTTATTCGAGTGAAGTACGCAAAGGTGAGTCATAAAAAAAATTCAATTAATACAATTCAAAGGTCGCAAATAACAGTCAAAAGGAAAAAGAGATCTTCAGTAAATTGGCTTTTCGAAATTTTTCAAGAGCGTTTTCTTTTTTTTCGGAAGGTTTTTGGAACTCGACGTTTTATTTTTCGGGACTTATCTAAACTGATCTTTGGAGATTTTGTGTTATTTGACGGGACCTTTGGAATTTTTCGAAATTGTTCATGTTTATCTGTCGGGGAATTTTTGGGAGCTTTCGGTTTTTTTCAGGACTTCTCGTTTTATTTTTCGGACGTTTATGATTTAATCGGGCTCCAATTTAATAGCTCCAATTTTAAAATAAAAATATTAAAATATTGAGACCGATAGAGATCTTTGAGATGAGCATAACGGTATACTTTTTTTTGACGAAAACAACTTCAAGAGTTACCAAAGGTCAATGTTTAAATTAAGCATTTTTAAATAAAAAATTCTCAAAAACATATGCATGTATTTTAAAACTCTGGTATTATCTCAATTCCCTTTAATTTGATATATTCAGCTCAATATCTCTATCGATTCCCATTTTTTTTTTAATTAGAGCTATTCTGCGTTTGTTCCTTCTCTGAGGACCGATTCGCGATTTTTTTCGTCGTGTTTATTAGTCGAAAATTTTTGGCTCATTTAGGGGTTTTTAGAACTCTTGGTTTTATTTTTGGAACTGTCAGGATTTTTTTGGACTGTTCAAAATTCTTCGGTTTTTTTTTCGGCATCTTATCAGATTTTCCGGGTCTTTTCGGACCCGCCGGGTTTTTCGGGAACTGTCATTCCCAAAAATATCACATTTCAATTTTAACTTACCTTTTATGAATGCAAAAAAACTTCAAAAATGATAAGTGGGTTGGCATTTATTTATTTTTACCTTAAAAACAGATAAAAAAAAACGGAGTTTCTGCCTTAAAATTATAATAGTTTTATAGTTTATTTCCACCAAGTCTTAACTGCAGTTTATGCCTATTGGAACAAGAAGATTACAACTCGAAGGGGGAGGGGGAGGAATTACCTCCTACTAAGTACGAGCAAACGAAAGGAGAAAAGCAAACACTAAAAAAATAAACTTATCTGAGCTCTTAACTGCAGTTAAGCCTCTGGTAGAAATAGGCTATTAGGGCTTCATCTAAAATTCATTTTATTATAAATTAAAATCCAACTATGTAATTGAATTAAAAAAAGCGGCATAAAAAATTGGCGGCTACTGTTAATAACAGAGCACTGCTATTAACCTTCTTGAATACTTGAAATTNACTAAAAAAATAAACTTATCTGAGCTCTTAACTGCAGTTAAGCCTCTGGTAGAAATAGGCTATTAGATTGATCATTATAAAATATATATTTGGTCTGGGCTTCATCTAAAATTCATTTTATTATAAATTAAAATCCAACTATGTAATTGAATTAAAAAAAGCGACATAAAAAATTGGCGGTTACTGTTAATAACAGAGCACTGCTATTAACCTTCTTGAATACTTGAAATTAGTTTATTTTCGATCTTATACATTCATATATACATAAAAAATAGCGATGAACATAATTACGATTTTAAAAATATGTATGTATGTATGTTTCCATAATAGGAATTAGCCAGAGCAATCCTGATGCTTCGTTTGGCGATATTTCACGTATGGTGGGCACTGAATGGAAGAACTTGCCGGCTAGTGTCAAGCAAAATTGGGAAGATCGCGCTTCACGATTAAATGAGGAATCAGCCGCCCGTCGCGAAATCGATGAGAGTTTGAATTGTGGCGTAAGCGGTAGTCCGGGTCCCAATGATCACCAGAATGGGCACGTATTTGAATGTCTATGGGACAAATGCGATTATCAATTCGAGGACGCTGTTGATTGTATGGAACATTGTATCCAAGATGGCACAGGGCATATTCAACGGACTGTCATGCAAGGCAACGATACTGAACTCACATGTCTATGGCGGGGCTGTATTCGCATGAAGAAGAATATGCAAGCTTTTCCATCATTGTTGCGATTGATCAAGCATGTCAGGGAGGTGCACCTAAGCAAGGGCGGTAAAATTATTCCTGCAAGTGAACGCAGTAAGAATTATGTGCCTCGAAAGAATCAGAAGACACACGGTGCGCAGATGAATTCACACGGTCAACTGTCAAATATGTCTCCCAGGGGTGAAAATGGTGCTGGCTCTCAGTACGCAATGCAAGTTTTGGGACCACCACCAGAGCCAATGTTTGTTACGGTGCCACCAAGACCACAGCGCGTACTCCATTCCGAGGCATATATTAAGTATATTGAGGGATTGCAAAATCATTCAACTTCTTCACAGAAGCCTGCTTGGAAGAATTCATTGAAAAAAGCAACTCCGGCAAATGCTACTGCTAAAACGGGTTTACCTACCCATTGGCTAGGGAAATATGCGGAGGGCAACGCTGACGATATGGTATCAGCACTATGTCATTTGCGCAATTTTATGATGGATGATGCACTTAAAATTCATCGTAGCTGCTACTAATTACAATTGAAAACATAAGAGCCTGTCAGACGTGGCTATATTTCCAACTTTTCCACGCAATTCGCTGTCAAATTGAGAAAGAGAAATTATATTTCGTCGTGTGAACACCCAGAAAGACCTTTCTATCACTTTTCGAAAATCAGGTTCAGAAATTCAAGTTGCAAGGTGTGACTGCAACTGAAAGAGCGATAACGATTACGGAAATATATTTTAAATTGCTCGTGCTGCATTAGCCAATTTTATTTCTGCTGCAACTGCTGTCCAACTTAATCCATTTTTACCATTAATAACACGGTGCTGCAAAAAAAAAAGAGTCACGAAATACACCCGAAACAAAACCCAGTTGAGGTAGTAGGTATGGTCGATATTTGTGCCAGTGAAATACGGTATATAACAGTTTTGAGTAAATATTTATGAACTTCTTAGCCACACTGCTCAAAAAATCTGCACGTACATATACACATATAAATTCAACGTCGTATCTTTGCTTATATTGCTTAACTTTGACAATTTTGATGCAATTGTATTGGATGAGGTATCAATTATTCGAAAATAAATGTTATTTTGGATAAATACCACATATTTGGGAACTTGCATAGAAATTTTTGAAATATACGGGTATCTTCATGTTGTACTCGACCATATCTACAACCTACACTAGGTTTTGTTTCGGGTGTATTTCATGATTCTTTTTGTAGCACCGTGTAGTTAATGGATGTATGTAGAAATATTACATATACATATATCGCAAACAATTTTATATACATACAGTGAGGGGCAAAACTGTAACATGGTTTAACACTTTTTGTTTCAGCCACCGCTATATTTCCAAGTTGTAACGACTTTCATACTTTTGCTGTATATTCTTGTTGGTACAGCCCTACTTTCTCTCTCATAATGATTTGAAGTCAATACAACAACAATAAAAAAACCAGCAGACAAAAATGTAAATTAAGGCAGATGTTACAGTTTTGNATACTTTTGCTGTATATTCTTGTTGGTACAGCCCTACTTTCTCTCTCATAATGATTTGAAGTCAATACAACAACAATAAAAAAACCAG